GTCCTGTACCTGTCAGAGTTCCAAGTAATACACCCATAACAAACAGAACTGTGAGGTAGGATGGTTCCTCAAAGAACAGAAAATCTAGGATTTTCATCACGACATAATGTGTTTCTCCTTGCACCACTATTGGTTTTGGAGCTGCCCGATCTACCAGCCTAATTGAGGAGCTTACTGCCAGCTTTAACAGGCTGCTCTGAAAGACCAGATGCACTTTCCTTAACAAGTGAGGGAGTTTAAGTTGCACCTTAAACTTAAGGGTTTATTACATTTACTATAAGGAAAGGCCTTATGAACTTTGGCCCTAGTTTTTTGCAAGGGAGTTTTAACTTCAGGTACTTTCATTGAGAAGTAAATCTTGTTCCCCACCTGTAATGGCACTTGGGGCCTGTGGTGTTTGTTGGCTTGCATTTTATAGGTTTTTGCCACTTCTCATAAAAACTGCTTGGTATTTTCCCACGCCTCTTTCAGTGATTCCATCCATTTGTTTAGTGACATAGATAAGGGGGCCTCCCTGGGGAGTTCAGACATGGGGACAAATTCATGCCATTGGTGACTTGAAAGGGGGTTAGGGTTATTTGTTTAGGAGAGTGATGGCTTTCAGGAAAAAAACTGTCCGTGTGTCTAGTTGTTCTGGTGTGCAGTGCTGTATAGCATCGTTTTGAGAACCAGATCAGCACCCAATACTGGCCGATCTTTAATCTTACGGGTTTGGTGAGGAGCTGAACCCATTGACTTGCTTGAAGCATATGAGGTTGCAAAATGTAAAATCACAGAACCGGTAGTTACACCAATCAGATCCCACCCCTGCCCTCATCTAAATAGTTTGCAAAAGGGCTATTTTGGTATCACAGCAATGATATAGATAGATAGATAGATAGATAGATAGATAGATAGATAGATAGATAGATAGATAGATATAGATATAGATATAGATATAGATATAGATATAGATATAGATATAGATATAGATATATAGATATATATATTATTGGTCATAGCTCATAAATCATAGTTACAATCATTAATCATAAGTTACAAAGAACAATTGATAATCATAAGAAACCAATAGAAGAAGATAGTAGGGAAGATGAGAAGATGAGAAAAGATCAGAAATAAGAGTGCTGTGGAAATTAAGAAACTATGAAGATTGGCAGATCTTTCACCTGATGGCTCTGTGTATATTTTCTTGGATCTTACCTGGGTATGTTAGGAGCAGATAGTCATTTCATGCATATTTCAAACCTGCTGAACATATGTGTATAGTTAATCCTCCTTTTTCCAAATTGATCTAATATTATTAAAGGGTTAAAATGCATACATACATACAAAAGTGTAAGCACTAGAAAATGTGGCTTTGGTGGAAAAAGAGTTGCTGTCAAAAATGTGTACATTAAGAGACATGAAAAGGAATGTGAATATTCATGTGAACCTTTTCTGGATTTATACTACAAAATTTGTAATACTTTTTTTTGCATTTGTAGAGCCAAGCAGAACTTACAGTTGGCAACATGAGAAAAGTGGCAGATAGTGTTCTCTATCTAGATTTGTTTCCTTAGGTCAATAGTCAAGATCATGCTATAGTAAGGGGGAAAAAAACTAGGAATGAAAATCAGGAAAGATTGTGTGTCTCCTCATTTCTTATCAGAAGTCATTAATCGTTTGCATCTCTCACAACACAATCTGCTGTTCTAATCACAACCATGTCCAGAAAGAACATCATTCCAGTTTTTCTTTATCTCTGAGAAATATGGCTCCTGTTGTGTCCTATGTATTTCTGCTGATATTGATGTACAGCACTGGAAAATATGCAGTCTATAGACTACGCATATTACTTTCTTGTCTCTTTTGACTTGATCACATGCTCTTTTAAAAGTTACATCAAACAATCTTATATTGAAAGGGCATAGCTTCTGATCAGAACTGCAAGTTTTTTATTTTATTTATGGAAAATTCTTGTCTGTTCACAAACTCATTAGACTTGTGACTCATTAGACAATCCCTCTAGTTGGATAGATAGATTCTACTCTTTCTTTTTATAATAGGGGTGGGCAACTATGGCCACTTTATGACTTGTGGACTTCAATTCCCAGAATTCCAGAGCCAGCATGAGTTGAGATCCACAGTTTGTAAAGAGGCCATAGTTGTCCACCCTTGACTTATACCTGCCTCATATTGCCAATTTTCCATAACCCAGAGTTTTCTGACATAGATAGAAAATGTCATAGATAGAAAATGTAAGAGGAATGGGAAATCCATTTTCTGCCTACCAAGCTCTACTTCTCCTGCCATATATCCTATTGATTAGAACTTTGTATATGTAGTCCTTGACTTACAACAGTTCATTTAGTGACTGTTTGAAGTTACAACAGCACTAAAGGGGCGTTGGTTCTTACCTGATACGCTTCTTCTCGTAGAGCTGCATAGAGTGTCCAGGATGGGAGGTGCTCCAGTCTCGGCTCTCACAGGCTGAGCTTGAAATTGAGGAACGCCTCTCACCATCACGTGGTCCTCTGGACGTTCCCCAGTTTTGCGAAGACAAGAAGGAAGGCCCTGTTCTCATCCTAACTAAAAATTATTAGTTTGCTTGGCCGAACAGCGAGGTTCCCCACCAGACGGACTAATGGGTGGGGCTGGACACTCTATGCAGCTCTACGAGAAGAAGCGTATCAGGTAAGAACCAACGCCCCTTCTCCATAGAGCTGCTACGAGTGTCCAGGATGGGACATACCAAAGCTTGGCGAGTCCTGCGGGTGGGCTGCCGTCTGGTGTGGGACCTCCCCTGGAACCTCGAGGACCCGCTGAAGGACCCGCCTGCCAAATGAAGCCTCGGCAGATGCAAATACGTCAATCTTGTAGTGCTTGATAAAAGGGGATGGAGATGCCCAGGTGGCAGCCCTACAGATGTCGGTTATTGAGGCTTGGGTGGCCCATGCGGCAGAAGTAGCCGCACTTCTAGTGGAGTGGGCGGTGACGCCCGTAGGAACAGGGAGGGACTGTGCCTGGTGGGCTTTGGCGATGGCGGCCCTAATCCAGCGGCCCACGGTTGTGGGCGTCACTTTGTGACCGAGAGAGGTAGGTTGGAATGACACAAATAAGGCCTCCGACTTGCGAAAAGTCTGGGTGCACTTGATATACACTCTCAAGGCACGCCTTACATCAAGGGAATGCCACTGTCTCTCCTTCTCTCGAGAGGGGTTGGGACAGAAGTTAGGGAGGATGAGCTCCTGAGCTCTGTAAAATGCTGAATTTATTTTAGGGAGGAAGGTGGGGTCGGGGCGGAGGACGACTCTGTCGGAATGAAAAATACAAAGGTCCTGTCTAATGGAAAGGGCTGCCATCTCCGAGATCCGGCGGGCGGATGTGATGGCCACGAGAAAGACAGTCTTGAGGGTGAGAAACTGTAAGGAAGCCTCCCTAATGGGTTCAAAGGGGGGCTTGGTAAGGGCGACCAGGACTTTGTTGGGGTCCCAGGTGGGAAAACGGTGTATGGTCGGGGGGCGGAGATTGGAGGCTCCCCTGAGGAAAGCCCGGATAAGGGGGTGATGGGAGATGGAACCCCCAATGTCCGAGGAGACAACTGTTGCGAGGGCAGCGACCTGACGCCTTAGGGTGTTGGTAGACAGACCCTTATGAAGGCCCTCCTGAAGGAATTCCAGGATCTGAGCAGTGGAGGGAGAAAGAGGGTTAATTTGAAGCTTGAGGGCCCAAGAACGGAAGGCGACCCACGTGGCATTGTATATACGGGTGGTCGAGGGTCGTCTGGCTGCCAGGATGGTGTCTATAACCTGGCTGGAAAAATTCTGTGCCTTTAAGCGGTTCCGCTCAACCTCCAGACGGCTAATTGGAGCCATTGGGGGTTCAGATGTAGCAGAGGGCCCTGGGACAGGGAAATCCTGTCTGGAGGGATTCTCCAAGGAGGGGCCACCGAAAGATTGCGGAGGTCCGCAAACCAAGGGCGTCTGGGCCAATAGGGGGCTACCAGAAGAATCTCTGCCCTTTCCAGAATTAACTTGTGTATCACCCTGGGGATGATGGAGAGGGGAGGAAAGGCATAAAGGAGCCCTGGAGGCCAAGGGCAACGGAGGGCATTGTGATTCTCCGCCCCGTGGGAGGGGTATCTGGAAAAAAACCTCGGTAGCTGGGCGTTGAGGGGGGATGCGAAGAGATCCACCATGGGGAGCCCGAAGATTGAGACTGCTTCCCTGAAAAGGGAGGGGTGGAGGTGCCATTCTGCTTGGTCCAGAGTGGCCCTGCTGAGCCAGTCTGCTTGGATGTTTAGGGTCCCTGATATGCGATCTGCCCTGATGGAAGCCAGATTCGATTCTGCCCAGCGGCAAAGACGTTCGGCTTCTCTCATGAGCCTTGCTGAGTGAGTGCCCCCCTGTCTGTTGATATGTGCCTTTGTGGTGATGTTGTCTGTGAGGACCAGGACGTGACGTCCGCGTACCTGGGGTAGGAAGCTGCGAAGCGCCAGGTAAACAGCGTGGAGCTACAGCCAATTTATGGAGCAGAGTTGTTCTGTTGCCGACCATTTGCCCTGGGATGAGAGGGAGAGGACGTGAGCGCCCCAGCCGAGTAGGCTCGCGTCCGTAGTGACAGATAGCCTGTCGGGTTCCTTGAAGTAGTGGCCCTTGTTGATGGCCGGCCTGGTCCACCAAAGGAGGGACGTGAGGACTCTTGGAGGAACTCTGACCCGGAGTCGCGAGTTGCTCCTTCCTGAGCGTTGATACGGCAGCAGAAACCATTGTAGGGACCTGGTATGGAAACGGGCCCAAGGGATAATAGATATACATGGAATAAGCTTCCCCAACAGTTTAGACAATTCTAAGAGAGAAACAGTTCTTGCCCTCCTGACCTCTCTAATGGATTGTTGGATGCTAAGCCACCTGTCCGGAGACAGGAAAACCAGTTCCCGGGCAGTGTCGATCACTGCCCCCAAGTGAGTGAGTCGGGTAGAGGGGGAAAAGTGGCTTTTCCTCCAATTAATCATGAACCCATGGTTTTGAAGGGTGTTAAGGGTCAGTTTAGTGTCTCGTTGGGCGAGAGCCCTAGAAGAGGAGAGGATGAGGATGTCGTCCAGGTAACAGTGGAGCCGGACAGGGAAAGATCGCAAGTGGGTGGCAAGAGCCGCCAAAACCTTGGTGAACACCCTGGGGGTGGAGGACAGACCAAAGGGAAGCGCAACGTACTGGAAATGTTGTCTATTGTAAGAAAAGCGGAGGAACCTGTAGTGGGAGGGATGAATTGCAATATGTAAATATGCCTCGGAGAGGTCAATTGAGGTGAGCCAGTCCCCTCACCGGGTTCCCATAAGAATAGACTGCAAGGTGTGCATCTTGAATTTACGGGGGGCAATGTAGCGGTTTAGCCTCTTTAGGTCTAGGATAGCCCTCCAACCCCCCGAATGCTTGGGCACTACAAACAAGTGGGAGTAGAAGCCTCGCCCCCGTTCAGATGCGGGGACGGGCTGGATGGCCTTTATGTCAAGGAGGTGGCTAATGGCGGCGTCCATGAGAGCCCTTTGTGCAGGGTTCCTGGAAAGGGGGGAGGACATGAAGAATTCGGGAGGGGAAGATTGGAACTCGAGTGCCAGGCCGAGGCGAATCGTGTCCCTGACCCATGCGTCGGTAGTGATGGTCTCCCATCGATGGGCAAAGTGTTTGAGGCGGCCGCCTATGGGGAAATTTACATTATCGAGATCGACGGAAGGGTCTGCTTCTGGATCCCCGGAAGGACTTCTTGAAGGAGGCGCCTCTTCTGGACCTGTTGGACGGGTCCGACCGGTCATGAGAGGGGGGGGTCTGTAGGAGGGGGATTGGGAGTATCTGGGGGGGAAGTAGGCATGGGAGGAGGGATGAAAGGAGCTTCGGCGAAAGGAGGGAGAGGGACCTCTGGGGTCGGGCCTCCGAAAAAGAGAGGGGAGGTACTTGCGGTTGTTACGGGTCTCGGCCAGGAAGGGATCGAGAGCGGGTCCAAATGGGAGCTGAGGCCAACTTGGCCTTGTTTTTGACGTCCGCTTGCCAGTGACGGAGCCAGAGCAAGCGGCGGGTGGTGACCTGGGACGAAATGGCCCTGGTGGAGAATTTTGCGGCTTGGAATGTGGCGTCCGCCAAAAACTCAGCCGCGGCCATGAGCTTAGCGATGTCCTGCTGCGCTCTGAGGTTGGCTGCGGGGACATGCTGTTTGAGCTGTCGAAGCCACTTGATGGAGGATCTAATAAAGAAGGACGCGGCAGTGGATGCTCTGACTGCCCAGGCGTCAGAATGGTGAGCGCGGCGCAGGGCCAGCTCGGCTCGTTTGTCCTCGGGCTTGAGTGCCTCGAGGGCATCGCTAGGAGTTGAACGGGAAGCTAGGCCTACAATAGGCTCGTCCACAGAAGGGGGATCTAGCAAGAGGGAGAACTGCGGGTCAAGGTTGAAAAAACACTTGTCCTGGGTGGTGGGAGGGGGAGGGGGCCCTGAGGAGGCTAGCTGCCTGGAGACCAGGTCGGAAAAGATAGGCGGAACAGGGATCACATCAGTTTCCACCACGGGCTGGGAAAAAATGGAATCGAGAGGTTCCCCCGAGGCTGCTGGCTGGGATGGAGTGGGGGGAGTCAGGCCAGAGGTATTTTTGGCCTTGAATAGAATGGACCTGAACTGGTGCGGCTTGAACAGCCCCACAAATGTGGGCTGGTCCGGAGTGAGGCCCTCGTCCTCCGACATGTCCCCCTCCAGTGGGTCTGCTCCCGAGAAGGGCTCACTGCCAGTGATGGACCCCAAGTCGAGGTCTTCCTCTTCCCCAAAGTGGGTAGGGCCCCCGAGCTCCTGGGTCTCTATCTCCTCCATCCCCAAAGGCAAAGGCAAATCCCCGTGGGATGCTACCTGACCGTGCGAGACCTCTGATCCGCAGAGCGATCGAACGGAAGGTGCCTGAACTTCAGGGGCCGCAGGCCATGGGGCCGGACCGGCCATGTGCTGTAGCTCTTGCGCTATCCCTTGCCGGATGGCCAGCTCCATCCATTGTTTCAGGTTCTCTGGAATCTCCACCGTGGGGGGTGGGTGAGGCTCCTCCGAGCGCAGGCCTGCAGCAGTGGGAGTAAAAGTGGCCTCAGGGGCCTGTCTAGGCTGTGAGGACGAGGAAGGAGCAGGGGAGGAGGGGAGAGGAGGGAGGGTGGAGGTTGAGGGAGTGGGGGCGGAAGGAGCCAGGGGCACGGAGGATGACTCTCTGGACCGCCTGTCGATTTCTTTCTCAAGTGCCCTGTGATGCCTGAGGGCATCCCTCTGGGAGGCTTTGGAAGCTTCCTGTGCCTGTTTGCGCAGGTGGTGTGATTTTGCCTTGGCCTTTAAAGAAGTGCCACGAGATACTTTGTCATCTGCCATCTGGAGAGAGAGAAAAAGGATTTTGAATTAATATGAGACAGTTGGCACGTCTGGATGCGGCCTACATCAAGGCCGGGGATCCCAGCGCTTGTTTCACACACCCCTTTGATCAAATTTTTTTTTTGTAAACTGCTATTAAAGATCAGGGCCTAGCCCAGGAACCAATCAGCCAGAAAGTGAACGCCCATGCAGCTGCCCCCTCCGGGCAGACCGGGGGGGGGATGACAATGCTGCTACCTCGCCTGCTGGGGAGGCTGCGGAGCCAACGGACGTTTGGTGCTCGAGAAAAGCTTCGAATAAATGCCTGGAGGTACGAGCTGTAATGTAGGCAGTCCAATGGATCTGCCTAGTGATTCAGATTACACGCAGCCAACAAAAAAGGGCCTCTAGCAATGGCGGTCGGCCATGCGGCCACACTCAAGATGGCGTCGGCACCTGGGCGCACCCAAGATGGCAGATGCCATGCGGCGCCCAAAATGCCAGCCGCAAGCTATTCGAGGCTACACCCAGCGGCGGAATTCTCCCAGAGTGGAGAGGGAAGCCAGAAGAGCAAAGGGAGAAGGAGGGAAGTTGATTTCCCCCAAGCTAAGAGGCGTTCGCGGGGGAGAAACAGCGATTGAAGTACAAGGCAGGCAGAAACGAAAGCGGCTTCGCACGGAGCGAAGGAACGGCAGATGAAGGGGGGGGGTGCGGCGCTCGAAGCGCTGGCTTCTACCCCTGGAGGAAAGGAAATAAAAACTCCCCCCTTGGAACAAGAAAGGCTCCCTTAGGAGTTCAAACCTCAAGTCACTGCGCTGCTGAAATAGAGGGTCCAATTTCAATGAGTATAACTGTGAAAAAGCTGATCAGCCAAGAGCTAAGAAACAAACAGCCTGACTACCACGAGGCTGAGCTAAAAACTGGGGAACGTCCAGAGGACCACGTGATGGTGAGAGGCGTTCCTCAATTTCAAGCTCAGCCTGTGAGAGCCGAGACTGGAGCACCTCCCATCCTGGACACTCGTAGCAGCTCTATGGAGAAAAAAGTAATTTATAGTCATTTTTCGCACTCATGATCATTGCAGCATCACCATGGTCACATGATCAAAATTCAGACACTTGGCAACTGACTCATATTTCTGATGTTGTAGTGTCGCAAGATCATGTAATCATCTTTTGCAACCTTCTGTCATGCAAAATCAATGGAGAAGCCAGATTCATTTAGCAACGGTGTTAGTAATTTAACACCTCTTAACAACTGCATCAAGAAAAGTCATAAAATGGGGAAAATTTCACTTAACAAATGTCTCACTTAGCAACAAAAATTTTGGGCTCAATTGTGGTTGCAATTTGAGACCTATCTGTATAGTAATTTTTTTTGTCAGAGAATGTTTCTACCAGCAGAGGCATTATGGCTATTGTTATTATTGCTTATTAAGCTTTTCATTCACTCTAGTATAACTAATATAGTTATACATTTTGAACTTGTATAATTATATATGGAATGGAATGGAATGAAATGGAATGGAATAGAATAGAATAGAATAGAATAGAATAGAATAGAATAGAATAGAATAGAATAGAATAGAATAGAATAGAATAGAATAGAATAGAACTTGGAGCCCCCCGCTCAAGGAGGAGAATCTATACCATTTCATATAAGTGACTGTCTAGTCCAGGGGTGTCAAACTTGATTTCAATGAGGGCTGCATCAGGGTTGTTTTTGACCTTGGGTAGGGGTGGGGGTGGGAGGGGCATGGCCAGGGGACATGACCAGCTCAATATCACTCATGGTGGAGTACCTCTGGTGGCCTGAGTGCTTTAGAAGTGAAAACAGGCTCCCGAGCTCCGTTTTTGACTGAAAAGACCTCTGCAACACTCTACCAGTGAAGACAGAGCTCAGGAGGGCTGCCTGCGGTCCTCAAATCAGAAGTGGTATTTGGCAGGTTCTGACCAGTTCTGGAGAACCGGTAGCAGAAATTTTGAGTAGTTCGCAGAACCAGCAAATACCACCTCTGACTGGTGCCACCCCATCTATTCTCTGCCTCCCAAGTCCCAGCTAATCAGCTGGGTGTCAGCATTCCAGTAAACCTCCACTCCAACAAATAACTCCAAGACAGACATCCTCTCCAAAGTTCTTTTTTATTTGGGTAGTAAACTGGCACATCTGGGAAATCCCGAATCTGAAAGTTCTGGCTTTCCTTACAATAAATAAAAACTACAAATCCACCCCCTCACTGCATCACATGCCCCAATCACCATTCTCGTAAGCTTGAGACTTCCTCTCAACCAGGTGCAGAAATAACGTGACCTTGACTTAGAAGAAGAATGCTATTATGTCTAACCACATACACACCAAGAAATTCCCCACTCCCATTTTCCCAGGCTCAAGAATATGGCAGTGTGGAAGCATCTGGTGCTAATATAGCTTCCAAAGCTGACACTGGGTCTTCTTTTGTTGCCCTGCACAGGAGAACGGAATTGGAAAGCAGGTTAGTAGATGGGAAGGGAATGAGATTTTGCAGCAGTCTTCCCCCAGGAGTGGAGAGGGAATGGAGATTTTACAGTATCTTTCCCCTGACATGCCCACCAAGCCACACCCACCAAGCCACACCATGCCCACCAAGCTACACCCGCAGAACTGGTAGTAATTTTTTTTTAATCCCACCACTGCTTCAAATGCTCCATTTTCAGCTGTGACAGTCTCCTGTAATCCTGTGCCAATGAAAACAGAGTTTGGGAAGGCTGCACGTGACCCTCATGTGCTCCCTTTTTGGCTGCAATGGCCTCCTACAACCCTCTGCCATCAAAAATGAACTCGGAAAGGCCACCCTCCTGAGCTCCATTTTAGCTGGCAAAGGCACTGCAGGCCAGTTCTTTTCTTTTGCAGGGCAGCCCCACAGGCCAGATCTAAGCACTGTATAGGCCAGATCTGATCCCAGGGCCTTGAGTTTGACACCCGTCATCTAGACTCTTCTTAAAAACCTCCAGTGATGGGGTGCCCATGATTTCTGAAGGCAAGCAAGTCCACTGGTTAATTCTCCTCACTGTTAAGAAGTTTCTCCTTAATTCCAAGTTGCTTCTCTTTTTGGTTAATTTCCAACCATTGTTTCTTATCCTGTTCTCTGGTGCTTTGTAGAATAATTTGACCCACTCTTCTTTGTGGCAGCCCCTCAAATACTGGAATACTGCTATCATGACATCCCTAATTCTTCTTTTCTTTAAGCTTGCCAAACCCAAATCCTGAAGCCATTCTTCATGTTTTAGTCTCCAGGCCTTTGATCATCTTAGTTGCTCTTCTCTGAACTTTTTCCAAAGGCTCAACATCTTTTTTCTGGTATGGTAACCAAAATTGGTTGCAGTATTTCAGGTGTTTTATTACTACGGTTTTATAAAGTGGTACCAATACTTTAAGTGACCTTGAGTCTATGATTCTGTTTATACAACCCAGGATTGTATTAGTTTTTTTACCTGGTGCTTCACACTGCTGGCTCATATTCAAGTGATCCACTAAGACTGAAAATCCCTCTCACTGTTACTATTAAAATCCCTCTCACTGTTAATCTGTACTTATACCTCTTATTTTTCCTGCCTAAATGTAAAGCTTTGGTTTTCTCCACATTGAAATTCATTTTGTTTGATAGGGCCCATTTTCAAGTTTGTCAAGATCTTTTTGGATCCTGAGCTTGCTGTTGGCTATTCCTGCCTGTTTAGTGTCATCTGCAAATTTGATGAGTTACCTTTTTATTCTCACATCTAAGTAATTTATGAAGATATTGAAAAGTACTGGGCCTAAGACAGAGCCTTGTGGTACCCACTACTTACTTCTCTCCATGTGGATGTAGTATCATTAAGAACTACTTGCTTAGTATGGTTTGTCAGCCAGCTACAAATCCATCTGGTGGTGATGTTGTCTAGTCACATTTTTCTAGCTTACCAAGAAGTAGGTTGTGGTCTACTTTGTCAAATGCCTTATTGAAATGTAAGTATACTATGTCCATAGCATTTCACTGGTCTACTTATTTAGTCAATTTATCAATGAATGAAATAAGATTGGTTTGGCATGATCTGTTTTTAACAAACCCATGATGGCTATTAGTTATAACTTTATTTGCTTTTAGTTGTTTGCAGATATTTTTAAAATTAACTTTTCCAGAATCTCCCCAGTTATTGATGTTAGACAGATTGGTCTGTAGTTTTCTGGGTCTTTCCCTCCCCTTTCTTGAAGATGAGAACCACATCAGTCCAATCCTCAGATACTTCCCCGGTACTCCATTTTTTTAAAGATATGATACAGTGGTTCTGAGATAACATTTGCCAGCTTCTTCACAACTCTGGAATATAATATGTCAGACTTGGTGATTTATATTTATCAAAGTCGGATAGGTATTCTCTTACCATTTTCTTGCCTATTTTAATTTTTATTTCTAGTTTGCCTTTTACATTAGGTTTTTTTTTTTTTGTATGTTGGGCTATAATTTCTTTTTGCATGAAGACTGATGCAAAGAATGAGTTAAGGACAGAGGTGGTATTCAGCCAGCCATGTGGCCATGTGGCTGGCTACACCCCTGATCCAGTCACTCGGTCTCCGCTGGCTTGCTTGCGCCGGCCGCCTGATGCTTGCTCCGACCACCCTGCCCACCCACCTGCCACTCGCTCCTCCCCTCTTGGGTCCTCATGGCTTGCCGTTCTAGCCTTCCCACAGGCTGTGCCCCAACTGAGCAGCCCTGATCTTCCTGCTCACAGGTAAGCCTGTGAGTTGTGTTAGCCCCTCCCCCACCATCCCCAGACTCTTCTGGGCCTTCCCTCCCATCCTCGGACTTTTCTGGGTCTTCCCATCCCTGGGCTTGGCTGGCTGGCTAAGCCAGCATGGTTTCATCCCACAAGGCGCTTGCCCAGCTTTCCCTACCATGTAGTAGCCATGGCACAGCGAGGGCAGGTGGATGTCTCAACCGGGGTTGCTGAAAATTGTGCACCGCATGTGCAGTCCTGGGCTGGCTGGAATATTCACCCACCCTGCCCTGCCCTCCTGCCGTGGCGGCAAGAAAGCAAGTGGCTGCCGGAGGTCTTTGGGAGAGCGCGCCGACCATTTTCTTCCTTATCCTGCTGCCCCGCTGCTGACTGCAGCAACTCGTGGGTTCATTCAGTTCTTCCCAGACCAGGTGTGTGTGTGTGTGTGTGTGTAAGCAAGAGAGAGAGAGAGAGAGAGAGAAATGAATGAAAGAAAAAAATAGGAAGAGTGTGTGTGTGAGAGGGGGGGCTGGAGTGGGGCAGCGGAAGTCTTTGGGAAAGCGCACCACCTGTTTTCTACCTTTTCTCGCCGCTCCGCTGCTGACTGGAGCGGGTTCATTCAGTTTGTCCCAGAGTGGGATTGTTTGTAGCTGCTTTTGTAGCTGTTTAGAATTGCTCCAAGGGAAAACTGTTTGAAAGAGCAGAATTATCCATGCTTTCTGCAGTCTTCTTTTGTGCAGCTTCATTCCATTTCAGTGGAGCAATTCTTTAGGGAAGACCATGCCCTCAGACCTCTCTGCCACTTAACATGCAAGCTGATTGGGGTTGGAAGCTCTTGGAGCATTTGTAGAAACTCTTATCCTTGCAATAAGGCAAAAGGCTGTCTCCATAGGTCCCTCAAGATCCCTCTAAGTGTTATTCTGTTATTCTGACATTTTCCCAGGACCTCTAGTCAAATTTATTTCATAATTTCACATATAAAATAGCCAATTGTGCAACCTGCATATTGTTCAAAACAGTAATTATTATGGCTGATGTTTGACAGCAAGCCTAAAAGTAAAAGATCACAAGAGTGCTTCTTTCCCTGTATGTATACTGTAAGGTCTGGCTTAAGCCAAAAATGAACCAAAACAAAGACTCAAACGGAGGCTTGCAAATTAAATAAAGCAGACTTTTATTCTTTGATCAGATATATAGTGATCTCTTACAGTGCAACTCCACCTCCTCTTTTTGTTGATCTGTTTCTTTTGAACAATTTGTATCCATCCTTTAGTACATTCCAATCATAGGATTCGTCCCACCAGGTTTCTGTAATGGCCCTCATGTACTATTGCTTCTAGTTTACCTTGTCTGTTCCCCAAGCGTTGAGCATTTGTATACAAGCATTTAAGACTTTTATGCCTGTCCATAGGTACGTTCTTTGCATCTCTTAGATGTTAGAGTTTTTCTTTTTTCCTCATCACTCCCTATCTCACTGTTTGATTTGTTTTCTTGGGATTTATGATTAGTTTTGTATTCTAGAGATTCTAAAGATTGATCACCCTCCTTCACCTTCAATTTTAGTTTAAAGCCCTTTTGATGAGTTGGGCCAGTCTTTTTCCGAGTACATTTTCCCCTATTTTTGTGAGGTTCAGCTCAGTGGTGGGATTCAGTTTTTTTTACTATCAGTTCTGTGGGTGTGGCTTGGTGGGTATAGCTTAGTGGGCACAGCAGGGGAAGGATACTGCCAAATCTCCATTCCTTCCCCACCCCACTAACCTGCTTTCCAGCTCCATTCTCCTGTGCAGGGCAACAAAAGAAGCCCCAGCCAATCATCTGGGACTCGGGAGGCAGAGAATAGATGGGGGAGGGGGAGTCAGAGGTGGTATTCCGAACTACTCAAAATTTCCGCTACCGGTTCTCCAGAACTGGTCAGAACTTGCTGAATACCACCTCTGATTCAGCTCATCCCTTGCCAAGAGTCCTTTTTTTAGGTAATGCAGTCCATGGTACAGGAAACCAAAGTTGTCTTGGTGACACCAACCCTTTACCCAGTGGTTTATTTCTACAATTCTTTTTTACTTCAAAGGGTGTTAACCTTTTGTGGGGAATACTGATGATAGCACTACTTGTGCTCCAGCTCCATAACTTTGTTACCTAATTGCTTATGATCTCTCAATATTGTACTCAGGCTCTTTGTTGTATCATTCATCCCAATGTGAAGGAAGAAGAAAGGGTGGTAATCTGTGGGCCTATTTATTTTGGTTAGGTTCTCAGCCACATCTTTGATTTTTGCTCCAGGGAGACAACATGCCTCCCTATGTTGTATGGCTGGTCTGCAGATGGCTGGTTCTGTTCCTTTGAGAATAGAATTTTCTATCACCAACACTCGCCTTTCTTATTGCGGGGAGGGGTTTACTCTGGGATGCTTTTCTGTTTATCTCAAGTGTATTTGTTAATATGACTTTTTAAAGGGATATTTGATGCTGTTTCTTTTCTAGGTGTCTGCATGTTTTCTTGGAGGGGGAAGTTGTGGGTCTGTGCATTTTCATCTGGGGAAGAAATTGATTGCTCAGTTTTAATGGGGCTGCTTCTGGTTCGTTTAGATTGGGCAGTAGGGGTTTGTTAGATGTATGCTGTTTCATTCTTCGATTATTGTATTTCCTTCTATGTGTGACATACTTCCATTTGTCTTCCTCCAAGAGTTTATCAGCAGGGTTAAATCCTCTGGGAGTTATTTGTTCATTATTTGGTTCAATTTGGGTATAGCTTTCTGGTGTAGGTGGGAGTTTGGCTAGAGTTGCCTCTAGACCCCTTACTTTTTCCTCTTAGTACTTCACATAGTTTATATTTAATACATGTATAATTTTGGTGTTCTTTGGGCATAAACACATACATGGAACATATATTGTATACTACAATTGTATTAGTCACCTGTTCCATGAGTTTGTTTCTTTTTGCTGGTTCTTTTAAAGATTTAAAAAAAATATGTTTTTAATCCCTTTTTCTGCCTTTTGTGTTCATTTTTCTACCTTAACTTGCTTACTGTTATCCTTTTATCCTTTTCTTCCCTATAATTCTTAAAGTTTTTGAGCTCCAATTCCTCCCTACCGTATTATTTAAGATTTGCCTTATTTATTTGACTGATCTTGTTCTATCTTGATTTTCACTCTTGTACTTATTTTTGCCAATTTATTTATCTTTTATTTTCTGTCCTGTATTTATTTTTATTCTTTACCGGTGTCTTCCCTCCCTGGTCCCAATAGTCAATTTGGACCTCAGGATTAAATTGTTTCCTTCACTTTCATTGTTCACATATATTATTTTCCCCGCTCACTTAAAAGAGAGATAAACCAACTCAACTAGATTTCAATTTGTGCTGAACAGTTCAAAAATGAGCAATGCCAACTGCAACAGTGGCAGTTTTAATAGCAAATTCAAGAATTCACACTTTATTGAATATTATTTAAATAATCCTTCAAATCTCATCTGTAAGTATTAATGTGCTCCTTTTGTAGTACTGTATAAATGAGAAACCTGAGATAAACAGAGCAACCTAAATGGACATTATGAAGACTTTGCAAAATAATTCACAATTAGCCAATTGATTAAATTATGTATGTATTAATGTATTAACTTGAATTAAAATGTAAATAAAATAATATTTTGGAAATGATAGTGGCTCTGGTTGAAAGTCATTCCATTAGGATTTCTTTGAACTTGGGCATGTCCTCTGTAAAATATTTACTTTTTGATTAGTTCAACCCTTCAGTCAGAAAATGAAGATTACATTTTGCTAGGAAACCTCTGGGTAAGTAAACTGTTTTTTTTATCTCTAGCACCTGGAAGAGAAAGGAATTTCATATGTAAAAAGAAAAATGATGAGAAGTAGGCAATTAAGAAATGAACTACTGTGCCATTCTGCACCCAATCTGCTCCTTGCACCAAGCAAAAATATTCCCAGCTTGTTCCTGTTGTCAGGTGCAAGTAACCAGAAACAGGAGTTGAATTCAAAGCAGTAAAAGTTTATTACATGCTACCTATACACAAGAATCTGATCTACTAATGGTAAAACCAAATATAATCTACTAACAGTCAAGTTAGATAAGGGTGAATGGAATTCATAAGGGAGTCTGGACTTGTGGCTTTTGTGGGAGCACAGCAACTCCAAACAGATGATCAGGATCAGCTTGCTCATATCCTACATCCAATATGCATAAATCAAACAGCAGCTGGATTAGACTGGATTTGATAGTATTTTATCCCAAATTCAAAGGTGTGCAAAGGTATGCCTTTTCTTAACATCCATTCAATACACCAATTGCATGCATGATGCCTTTAGATACTGAATTTTTATTTTAAGAAAATGCAGATCAAAATATGTCCCTGGATGTTACATATTTCGTAGATTTTAACAGGATTATTGACTGTTCAATCTGGATTTGAGGTAGATATAACTATTCCTTTGTTTTCCTTAATTTTCCCTATTGCAAATTCATTTCTATCCATTAGTTTATGAAATCAAAGTAAAAAATGTGTCTTGAAAATGGGCAATTTATGTTTACAGTTGTTAATATACACATTTTTAAATATATGCTTCAGCATCAACATTTTCTGAAAGCAAATTTTGCCTATTGCACATACTTTTGCTTGCAATTTTTTAGTTGCAAGCCACATCCTAGTGTTCTGAAAAGTTGTCATTTGCATTGCACATATGCATTACAGTTCAAATCTATAGAAATGGGAGAGTACCAAACAATGCTAAATTGATAGGATTAGTCAGATAAAAGAACTGATTAATTTAAGTGGTGTTTGTTTATTTTCTGCAGTGTAACTTAGCTATTTTCATTTTTGTAAGTTTGTCCTCAAGTCAACCTCATAATGAATATAAAGCATTGCCCTGTGCCTTTTCTTCCAAAGTTCCTAAAAATCAGTTTAGAAAGATATTACTCTGGATTGTTTAGCTCACATTGCTGTTCTCATTAAAACAGATAATGATCATTGCCAATGTAACATAAATTCTGCTTTATTTATGTATACCTACTTAAAATTTCAAGAAGTCATGATGTAAGTCACAGGTGAGAAGTGAACTATTTAAACTCTTCTGTTTCACATGTTATGCAAATGTTATATGAGTTTGAAATATTCTAAATGATCTATTATAGAGGCAGAAGGATCCATCTCTTTCCCAATAACTCTCTGGCCAATCATCTTCCTATCTTGTGCAAAACATTCTGTGAAGGTCAGAGGTAGTTATGAGAAAATCTTCCCAATCTTAGCACACAAGCATCTGTGAGTCATTGTGAACTATTCAAATAGAAATCACTGCTAGATTCCAACCTGGTCTGCAGAGATCTCATAAAATAACACTTAGAAGGCAATAACAATGGGTCAAGAGGGCGATAGTTGGGTTTTGAATCCAGTTCATGACTTGCAAATCAAAGTAATTCGTTCATTTTACCAAGTAGTAAGACTAATTCCATATCTCAGCTGACATCAAACTGTGGGACAGGACAAAAGTTCATACCTGTAGTTTCATAAATTTTAGGTGTAACTTAGATTCACAATTAACAAGGTAATGTGATTGGCTTGAAGTCTCTCTCTCTCTCTCTCTCTCTCTCTCTCTCTCTCTCTTTCTCCCCCCCCCCCCTCCCATATGCCACTTGCCAAAGCTAGAGGTAGTTTCTGGAGCAGCTGTGTAGTTGGGCAAAAGCCTCTTTGAGCTTTGCCAAGAAAGTGGTGGAGAAGCAAAGAATCTGTTCTGCAGCATGGCATGCCAAAGCTTTTTGTGAGCCATGTTGGAGGCTCTTGCCACAGAGCCATGTGTCTCTTGCCACAGCTGTCATTGTTTAGCAAGAGTTTGAGGAAAGCCATGCTGGAGAAGAAAAATAACATCCTCTATGTTTGGT